CTTGTACGGTGACTTAGTTCACTCTGAGGTCTATTTATAAGACTTGTACGGTGACTTAGTTCACTCTGAGGTCTATTTAATTATAGCGGCTGTCACGAACCGATCTGTTTTTTTTATTTTGTTATTACTTATTGTTTGTATTTGGTTTCCAGGGAAACAAGTTGATGACGAAGTACCATACCGTCCATCCACCCACATCCACAATCCACCTGGCGGAGCTTCCTCCTTGAAATTTAACTAAGYTTCCAAKAATAAGCATTTCTAAGGGTCTTTGATCTTTCGTGAGGATCATTGGCAAAGATCAATTYTCACTGTACAACGTTTATTGCCTGCTCTAGTCCAGTAAACAACTGTTTCTATTTACACTAAGACGCTTGTAGTAAAGAGTTGTACTGGATTTGATTAAGTCGCTAATACYGTAGTTAGGGATATTTGTATTGCGGTCGAGATGGTTTATGGATAAGTCAATTTTAAGCCTGGAGGGTACTGCTTGTATTATATGATATTTAGCTAGTTTCATTTTAAACGTGTTCTCTTTTTTTTCACATGATATATTTCTGGTCTGACATATTTCTGGTTTCAAAAACAACTAAGTAATGAACTTTGCGTATTGATAGCATCAAATCAACTCTTTTTTATATCGATATTTTTGAATAATTTTTTTTCATTACTATTTCTTTCTCTTCTTGGCAAAAAAGATAAATACATTTTACTGTTCTTATAGACAATCGAAAAGGCAAGACAATAACTATTTACGCAATTTGCATCTAAATACGCATTTAATTTATTGGTTTGAGAATTTCCGCTAAATCAAGCGTGAATGTTTTTAGTGAACAGTTTAAAAAGGATTGTGGGTAGCCGTCAAGTCGAGGCCATTTTAGAGGTTACGTGTCCATGTAAAGACAAGATGGCAAATAAAAATAATAGACTCTTKCATGGTGTTTTGTATTATTGCGCTGCAGAAGTTATCTTTTATGGCTCATTGTCTACACACTTGTTGGTAGCGTGCAAATATTTCTTGTTTTAAGGGATAGTTAACAAATAAGGCTCTTCAGCTCATGCTTCTTGACATTTTCTCGTGTGTTTCAAATGCCAAGCGTGCGTTTATCAGAGTATAAACCACAGGCTGAGACTTATTTATTTGTTTTATTATATAGATTTTGAGCAAAACTTATGCAAAAATCCATTTTGTTGCCTTTTTCAAAAATCGCTCGCGCACAATCGTGGTTTATACTCTCATATAAACCACACTTTTTTGGCCAATCAGAGCGCGCGTTAGAAATCATCTATATAATAACACAATATATTGATATTTTCTAGCACCTGCACATATGAAATATTGTCCGAATACGGTCAGATCAAAATACTTTTGCGTGCAGCSAAAGTCGCGCTATCAAAGTCRGCCGTGCGGCGTAACTATACCTGTACATGTTTGATATATACCATATTGTAGGTACCAATGATACAGAATATGAAATATGAAAAACAAGATAATCGAGGAACTATATCACAGYAGTTGAAAAGGCCGAGCTTCAGCTAGAATATCTGGCTTTGAGATGTGTTTATATCTTTTTGACTAAAGTGGTCACATAGAGCGTACATCGCGCGCGTTTCTTTCACAATCGCTTAAAATTTGCGACAGATCAAGAAACGATATTTTTCGACGCAYTATCTCAAAGTAAGATGCGTTTGAAACGCAGGCAATGTGTTTCAATATGGACGCTTAAATATGGACTTCAAATATGTAAAACTACCTATAAGTTGTAGTCTGATGATCGCGTAATGCGTGAAACTTAACTTATTAAGTAGCGACAAAGTCCTTGTATGTACAAATGAAGGTATAGACTACAGATTGTYATGCATGTGATCTCGCATTTTACATCATAAAATATTATGATAAATCACCATCAAACATGCATCAGTTTGTTTAGTTCCTTTTTATAAATTTGACTCTAACATCYCGGTCRGGCACAACGGCGCCCCTAGTTTCAGGTTCAACGTCGTCCTCGTGWGGGTAAAGTACTTTATATTCCAGAACAATCCTGGATAATAGCAGATACATTTCCAACTCGGCTATCCGCCTCCCTGCACACATTCTCTTGCCAAACCCAAATGGTATAGACGCAAAGGAGTATGGGACACCCTGGTGTTTGTTACCAGGGTCCCTCAGCCATCTTTCAGGTGTGAAGTGCTCTGCATTTGYGAAGACACTTTCGTCGCGGCAAAGAAAATAAGACAGTACTTGGACATGAGTGCCTGCTGGGACAAGGTAGCCGCACARTTCAGTATCATCCTGTAACTGTCGTGTAATACTCTGGAGGACTGGGTACAAGCGTAGAGTTTCCTTGATCCACGCCTTCAGGTAAGGCATTTTGTTAATGGTTTCTGGTGACGGRATTTCTCCTGGTTTGAGGACAGATGTAATTTCTTTGTACAAGTTGTCTTGCTTGTCTTGGTTTTTTCCAAGCATGTACAGCGACCATAAGACAGTGTTGGATGATGTTTCAACACCTGCGAATATTAAATCGATCACGCTTCCCACGATATCTTGTCGAGAAAGTTTGCCGTTGGCGATTAAAAACTCGAAGAAACCGACCTCGTTGAAACTATCAGACTCTTCCTTTCCATCCAAATTTCTCTTCTTTTCATCAAGTTCTCTGATTCTCTTATCAATGAACAACTCTGCATACTTGAACATTTGCTCAAAGTAAAACATGAAGTCTTTGTAAGCCTTTGTCTTGTAATATTTGTAAACTGACATTGGTAAAAAACTCACAGGAAATACGCTATTCAGCCATCCGTGAACAGCATCGAGAAATTGCTGGGCATCTTCGTTCATATTATCTTTCAAACACCCAAATCTTCTCTCGAGAAGCACAAAAGATATCGACTCAAAAGCCCATTTGAAAAGCTCTCCATCTAACTTTCTGACTTCATGCGCAAATTCAGACCCAGGCCTCTCTATGATGTTGTCAAGTCTTGCCATAAAATCCGTAATGACGTCATTCAGCTGTGGTGAATAATCACTGACCTTCTTGGGAATCAACATTCGTTTGCTGATAACGCTTCGATGTCTGTACCAGTCATGGCCATSGGCGAAGAAAACTCCTTTGATTTTATTATGCTCTTTCATGAAGTGGTCCAAGATGGGCATTTCAACTCGTCTGGGGTACTTTGGTTCAGGGTGGAATAGTTTGATAACCTCGTTCGGGTCGGCAAGCTGCACAAAAGGCGTCGTAAACCCAGGAATCACAAATTTATGAATCCTTCCAAAGTCCTTTACACCAAAGTGCTGTGATTCAAGCATGGCCTTCGCAAATTCTCTTCCTCGTAATCTAGTCATTATGTAAGGCAATGATCCAATCAACGGCCATGGTCTTGGACCTGGTATGTCATTAAATGCCTTCAGTCTTGGTTGTGATTCTGTAATAGTGGAGCTTGAAGCAGAGCTTATACACCGTAGACTACCACACAAGGAATATCGATTGCTGTGGTAGAAATACTGGTGTATCTGGCAGCGTAAACTACGCTTTCCTACCAACTGTAGTCTCATGCTTGTGGATCCTGTTTTCGTGACTGTAGCCTGAATCGTGCGATCGTTGAGTGATGCTGCAGGAGTTATGCTAATTTTTAGAGCCATTTTGAATACAAAAGGCGATTGGGGCAATTATTGCGTAATCCAAATATAGTACGAGCACTATGATTGGCGATAATAATGTGATCGATATCTGTCAAAACTCGTCGTCCTCGTTCTAGTGAGCGCTTTATAGAGCGTTTCGTCGGGCTTTAAAACATATATATATATTTATATTTCAGAAGAGTAAAGTTGTTTTAAAAGAAGAATTGCTTTTATGGATAATTACACGATTACATGGTTTCATCTTCTACGCGCGACATTGGATTTATCCCTACCATATGTGTCGATAATAAAAATACCATTATAATTTAAAATATTTCACAACGACCAGACTTGAGTTTAGCAAAACGTGTTTGGCATCCTTGTGCTATCTTCAATTCAGTTGTATAAGATAATTATAAGAAGAGCAGCTTATATTTATACTTGTATTTAAACTTGATATGGCCAGATTACAAGAACATTTATTTACAACTGATCAAGACTGCAGCACATATTGAGGCTTGCAAGTCTGAACTAAATAAGTAAATTAAGTTGTAAGTCTGAACTAAATAAATAAAGTTTATTTCACGAAAAGTGCGACTTATATACGGGATTTTATTCACGAGTTGATTGTAACACAACGGATAAGCGAGTTTATAATATAATATAACGAGACTTTTGCATTTTCAACTATACTTCGGAGTAAATTGCAATCTCGAGCCCAGAGTCTTCACGGGGTCTGGGTACGAGATAAAGTCAATAGCCGACTTGCGAATTACGCATCAATTCATTACATACAAAGGAATCAAGACGAGGCGCCGTGCTAAAGACAATAGATTTTTCACAAAAAAGCACGGCGCCTCGTCTTGATTCCTTTGTATGTGACTATTGATGCGTAATTCGCAAGTCGGCTATTGCAGCTGTAGCTGTGTGGTGCAAGTCTTTGTATCCATCTTATTATATGTATATAATGAAGTCATTTTGTCTGCAAACAATCCTTAAATTTTAATTTTTTTACTTTAGTTTCTACCTGTTGTCGGCATTTTTTATTCAACAGGTACTTCAGCTAAATGTTCTCCCACCTGCTCGTCTGCGCATACATGCATTTGTATGAATAAATTCGATTTTGGACGCGAATTCTGCTGGATGTGTTTCATATATGACTATACATTAAAAGTTCTTCGATCAATCTCGCTGACGAAGCACGATCAACTGAAGAAGGTTGTTGTTGCATTGAAAACCACAAGGTAAAACTTCTCATCTATCAATATACCTATATATGATTTATGCAATATCGATCGAGTTTATAAATGCATTCGTAAAGCTACCGATTGAAATTGTTTTCCCAGCACTGCAACACAACCATTTGTGATATATTCAGATCAGCAAGCCACAATAGTACATTCTCACAATATCCCACTATTATATCTAGTGAGTTTTTAAAGCAAGGCCCTTCACTATGATGTGTGCCGCTATATTCGGTTCTGTCATAGGAACTGAAAACGACACTAGGACACCATGTAACGATGCGGGTGACCTGACAACAGTGAAGGGTGACCTGACAACAGTGAAACCTTGTTGCTTTTATTGCAAATAACGTTTCGACAACTGCGCGCACCAATTGACCATCGTATTTATATTGCGGATTTTATACAGATGAACAGTGATCAAGGAGAATTGCTACATCAGGACGATGGTCTAGAGACCAGAGAAGCATGCACTATAAAAAGACTCTCGAAACAGCTATCAGACTACGAGATGACTTGCATCGACTCCCAAGGGAAGGCCAATCAGTTCCGAAAAGAGCGCGACGTAGAGCGGTCGCTTAACGAAAAACTCCGAAAAGAAGTCGACAAACTATCGAATCAACTTTTGTGCGAACGAATGAGGGTATCGTGCCTCGAAAAAGAATTGAAAACTGTCATAAAGAACAAGGAAGACCAAKACAATGGTAATGTATGATAGGTGATCGTGTCTGTTGATAAGAAGACTGGAAGTGTGTTTTTAAAAATGGGTGAAAAAAATGTTGGCAGACCTCAACCTTGTTCCCAGAGTAGACGCATCAACTGATGGTCGAAATTGTTGTACAATATTCATGCAAAAGATTACATATATTGATTCGTTTTTAAAAATTCGACGACTTTTTCAAGCATCTGTTAAGACCTGTTAATCACCCATATCTTGACGTAAAATGACGTCACGTACATATCATCCAAATAGTCGATTACAATGACGTCACGTACATATCATCCAAACACAATACAATGATACAATGATTTGGGGGTTGTACCAACTTGAAGTCGTCATTACGCGCGCAATTGTTGGCATGCCGTAAATTATGATTCCTGAGTTATATATTTGTTGTCCAGATAATGCCTGCATAGTCGAAGACAGCGTCGAAAATAACAACAAGCCATGTATTCCTAATAAAAGAGCTGAGAATTTGCTCACATTGAAGCTACAAGAACTGCAAACAGCCATCGAAGATCGCAARGAAAGGCAACCAAACCACAACGACGATCAGTTCATGGCGTTGTCTGTACTCATCGAGAGTCTTCAAAACTACATGGAGATTGAACAAGATAATGAAGACAAGGTGAACGGCAGTATTGATGCCGTTGATAGTACATCACATTGCCCTGCGACAACAACCGCAACCAGACCAAAAAAAGAGATTTCTACATGGTTTAGAGTCATTGTTTACCTCGGCCCTGTATTTCTAAGTATCTTATGTTATATCGCGTTTAATACAGCAAAGAGATAGAACAAAGGGAACCCAAACTATAAAATTATAAAT